TTCCCTCCGGGTACTCCGGCTTCCTCCCACAGTCCAAAGACATGCAGCTTAGGTTGATTGGTGTCTCTAAATTGCCCATAGGAGTGCATGTGTGTGGTTGTTCGTCTATGTGTTAGCCCTACGATGGATTGGCGACCTGTCCAGGGTGTACCCCGCCTTCGCCCGATGGCCGGCCGGGATTGGCTCCAGCCCACCACCCCCCCACCGTGACCCCGTTCAGGGACCAAGCGGTAGAAAATGAATGAATGAATATCACTAAAATGTAACCCAACTGCAACCAATTAGCAAGATTTATTTATCGTCAACTATTCAGGTCCTCAACTGACCCAGGCCTGCAGTGAGACAACCTCCTCTTATCTCACAACAAGACACGAATAAAATAAAAGACCTATTCCAGCATTATTCGATTCCAATCAGGACTCTTTGGGCTAATTTAGAAACTGCCGACTCAGATGAAAGAAGATGCCTGGAGGGATACACAGAGACGCAGCACAAAGCGAGCCTTAGACAACCTCTAACTATGCCACAAAAAAAGTTTTACATTTCAATTGCAAACTACTAACTGCAGTTGAGCCTCATGTATCCATGTTATGCACAGTGCAGCTCAGAGACAGCCACCACTACCAGACTCCTAACAAAAGAAAGCCATTATATAAAAAAATCTGAGACTGAGCACTGTAAAGAAGTGAAAGACTGAGTATGTTACTACACATGGGGTGACTGGTTGGTGCAAAAACTGATCTCTGTGTGACTGCTTCCCCTTCTTAACTTCAGCTTCTGTGGATATGATACAGGAAATGTTTTACATATTAGCAGAAACCCGAGTCTTTCTGCATGACATACACAAAGAACAGCATGAGATGCATGACCACAAAGACAAACTACAGGCTAGGTCACTAAAGGACCAATCAATACAAGGTAAGTAAGATGAACAGTCAGTGGAGATTCTTTACACCCAGCAGCCCGTGGCCTCGTCCCCCCCCGTCCTTGAGCACCTCTAGTTTCATCTCCTGCACCAGCAGGCCTATGATATTCTTAAATATCTGTTTTGGAAGATGCTGAAGAAGTGATGCATGAGAGTGCAGCTATCAGTATTTAATTTGATGACCATCCAAAACAAATCCAGTTGAGTGAAGGAAAGGATAAGAGTCTTATAGTCATGGTGGAGGTTCTAATGTTGAGAGGTGTCTTTCAGTATTGGCTAAATCCACTCAAAGAAAGAAAGTGAAAAGACAAAGTGAAACAGAGGAGAAAGGTGTGGTCATGGCAGTCAGGGATAACACCTAATGACCAGCTGAGGCCAGAATGTACTCTCAACAAGAATCAGAGTTATCAAACTGAACCTTACAGCATCCTGTATGCAGCCACACTAAACAACTCTGACAAACAAGAATGATATTTTTATAAAGTGGGATGAGTGCATCTTCAACGCTATGAAATAAGCATGCTTGTATGGTAACATGCCATCTCCTATTGTGCATGTGCACATATAGAGTTAAGGTGCAACAATTAGTCAGAGCTTGGTTCAAGGTTTGCTGATTTTCTGTTTGACAAGACTCTTAACTGAATATATTTGAGTTTTTGGACTTTTGATTGGAATCTGAAGACTCGAGATAGCCAGTTTTCATTATTTTCTTGCATGTTAAAGACTATACAAAAATTGTATTGAGCCAACAAGAATATAATTCAGTTAGGTTCATTTATGGAGTTGTAAAAATCTATCTCCACTACAGCCCACTAGCTTCCCTTGGATGACTTTGTGCAGGGGACACAGCAGAGCGTGGCCACAGACTCGGGGGGGGACTGATCAGTCTAGGCCACATACTGTATGTTGTAGAAAAGAAAGTGCAGAGGTTCAGATATATTATTTAACACCAGCCTCAACTTTGGTCACTGAAATGATATTATCTGAAAATGCAAATGAGTCCACAGCTACACAAGCTACCACCTCCAACGGCTGTAACCACAACACTGTTTCACACAGGTGTTAAACATGATGCAGGCCAGGTGGTTTAAGACCATCCACAACAGCACCCATTACTATCTGCTTGGCCCAGGTGACATACTGATATACATCCGTCTCATTACTGACAACTCCTTAGGAGTTTGGCCAGGAATATGGGAGGGAAACATCTCTGTTTAATGCAGACTGGGATAGTATGCCTCCCACACTTTTCAGACTGGTAAAGACAAAAACAGGGCCTTCCTGAACTCAGAAGATGGTTGATGTTAGGTACCATTTTCCCCCTGAAAAATAACTATAAGTGTAATTAGAAAGCAGTGAGCGGAACAGCTCAGCCGGTCAGCTCAGCAGACTGTTAAAAAGCAACCAAGATGTTAACCACACAGGAAATGACATGGCTGATTTCATGCAGAAGCACAAGCCTGCAAAAGCAGAGCAAAGCAGGCACTAATGTCAGGATGATTTAAATGTCGATAAGCAGTGATTACTAAAGAGGTGTAAAGACTAAATGTATTGATCCATATTAACGGAAGTTAAATTACTCAACATGAGCCATCACCATTTAAAAACGATACGTACTGAACATTCACACTGCATAAAATTGCCTGTTCCTCATAAGCAATATTGTACAAACATGCAGATATTTCACCCACTTTTCACCACGGAAGATGCTAAAAAAAAACTAACAGAACTGTGTGCATGTTAAGTGATGTGCATTTATACAAACTCATTGCAATTTTCCCCTTTTGACTGTTCCACTGTATTGTCTAATTCCTTGTGGCACAAAGGAGAGGAAAATAGAATTCTGTTTTACAGTCTGCAGGTCTTAGTCTACCGCTACATATCATGACAACTTCTAATGTCATGATGTTCATCCTTTAAAACAGCCCAAAACATATAAGACAGCTTTTTACTATAGACAGAGTCCACTGATATTTCTGTCTGACCCATTAATTTACTTGCTTTCTTATTTACTTTATCAGTCCTCTCTTTGGCTGCTTTCCTCATGTTGCCACCCCAGTCTAAGATGCATTAATTACTCAGATTTATTATTTCTTTAATAAATTAGCATCACTTCATTCTTGTTAATATTCAGTTCTTATCAAAATATTCTGTGAACCTGCCAATCTCCTCTAAATAACAATGCTTATTGTCATTCTTTACTGAGAACAATCATGGTCATATTGCCTGCAAATGTAACTATTTGGTCACTTTTACATAATTCACAGCATACAATGTAAAACAAATGGTGATAAAACCATGCCTTGTGGTGAACCTGTGTTAGTAAAGATCATATATCTTTAACATACTGAGCTCTGTTTGTCAAAATAATTATTAAGAGACCCATGGAGCAGTTTTATGAAAACAATACAGGAACTTGTTACAACCCAGTGCTGACAGTGGAAGAAAAGGAATGCAGTGGTGATAGATGCCAAAGAAGTGAATAAGCTGCTTTGACAAGGCCAAGCCCACACACTGGAGAGAGAGAAACAATCTCACCAGAGACATGTGGCAACACTCTGTTGCAAATTATGTTGTCTAAATCCAGAAATACTGTACTTTTAAAAAATAACAACCCAACCAGACAACATGCTATCAAAAGAGCTACCACAACTTTCAATCTGTGGCCTAAATGACAATGTCTGCATTCATCAAGTGTAAAAGAGATCCACCTTGGAGCAGGTCACCAACACTACAAGATGAAACAAGCTGCCTTTTACTCATGACTCTGCAGTTCACTGGTGCCTACAGTAACACTGTTAAGCTTAAAATTACACCAATAGACGTTAAGAAAGGATGAAGAAAAGATAGAGTTGCTAGATTGCACACCAACAGGATCCACTTGTGAATAAATAATGTGGGTGAAAAAATTCTAATACAAGATGAGTTAGTCTCTGCTTGGCTGTCTGAGGCAGTAACACAGAGAGAGGCGGATGTGACTTTTGCCACAGATTCAACGTGGAGTCATGACAAAGCTCAGCATCAGCGACTAATTGGTCAGTATCTGTCCATTGACCGCTGCCTGTTCAGACAGGGATGGACCATGCTGATTGTGTTTCACTCCCCACCCCCCACAGAGGAGTGGGCCAAAACAAAGCATTGGTGGCACTGCCTGGCACGTGTGACAGTTTGCTGCCAACAGCTCTATTGTCTAGGAAATTAAAAAAAAAGAATGGGAGAGGCATGGGAGCAAGGGACAGTCCCCCTTTGTACAAACGAACATATGAAAAGGTTGGCTGGCTCAGTCTGAAAGCCACAGTCAGTGTCAGGCTAGGAGAGGAGTGTACACATTGGGATGTGGAAACCTCAAGTAAAACCCACGGAAGCTTTCATGATAATTAAACCCTCAACTCCAGTTTTGCACCGAGGTTATCTGGAGATCCCCGTGATATTTATACTCCGCAACCACTCCTTATATACCATCTCATTTTTGCTCCACATAGTGTATCGCCTAGCAACAGAGCGTTGCCAGGAAGACGACCACTCATCTCCCCGTGCCTCCAGTTACAGATCACTGGCGTTTTGTTCCCCGCGGAGCCTCCCGTCATTTTCAACGCGTGTCAGAAAGACAGTCGACGGAATGACGTGGCACAAAACGACGAGATTTCACGGGACTCAAACTTTTGTCGTGCCATGTGTCCCCTTACGGTCTCAGTGAGCAAACACTGGCAATTCGATACGTGGAGAACCACTGTGGAAACTAGACAAGGAGTCAGTTTACGAGCTGCGGGGCGCTACTGTCACTCTGGGTGTCAAGTTCAAATGCACAACAAAACATTTCCGACTTTAATTATGCACCCTAATGTTAGGCTATTGTTTTTCTGAGTTGCTGGATCTATAAAATCCACAAATGGTAGCTGGTTAGTCCCCGACGAACCTTAACTGGCGTCCAACCAATTGAGTTATAAAGTAGCGGAACGCTAAGTAAACCAGTCCTAATGTTAGCTAACGCTACCTACTTGTCGAGGCTAGCTTATTTTAGCCATATTAGCACCAGCTAACGCCTTCGTGGTGATATATTTAACTGAATACTTACTTTTATGCTTGCCAACACCCCATGACTGTTTGGCGATACTGGGGCTCCGTATGATTGCCCTTCCGGCGGATTTCAAAGCGTCCATATCGTAGCTAATCCAAAAGTGGGGCAAAGAGCCCGTCAACCGCCTGTCCCTCTCTGTCGAAACACTTCAGCTGCTTTAAAATAGCCCTCACCGGTGAAAACTTTTTTTCCAGCTTTTTTTTTTTCTCCCCTTCGCTCGTTTTGCCTTCAGTCAATGGTAGATTATCATGTTCGTCCCTCTGGGCGGTGTCATATATGCAAATTAACAGAATAATACACGTGACGCCTGTTTGTGGATCCAAGAGTGGATTGTTGCAACCCTGCTCTCACAGCCCGGCGTGCGGTGCTAGTGCGGCGCCACTGTTGCAGCGAGGTTTTACTCCTAACCCAGTATATTTTGTGACAGATAACTTAGTAGTCATATCACGGGCCGTGGGTAAACCTCTCATGTTTAATTCAGCTACATAACTTCTTCGTTTCTGAGCTGTAAAAGCATTGTCTACTCAGGAAAAATGTTCATAATGTCATGCTCAGACACAGGTGGATGGGATTGTTCCACTTAAGTTAATAAAACTACTGTACATTCATATAGACCTGTAGGCTATATATAATTAATGTAATAGTAAGAAGTAACTTTTGAGCATTATACCAAGTGATTCTTGTTTGTAATCATGAATATTTTTCTTATCAGAAGGAGTCATACTTTGCTTACCTATTTCCATTCAGAGCCTGTTTCAAATCAGGTATTATCTGCTTGTGTTACATACATAATACTACAGCTATAACATTATTTTCTGAATAAGTGCTTGCTACAGTAGCTGTATGTAACCCTAACTCCCATATTCTGCCCAAGTGCTCTGATAGCTAACATCATAAAATGAACAGCTTCCAGGGAAGGAAGGAAGGAAGGAAGCAAGGAAGCAAGAGAAAAGTGAAAAGAGAAAGTCACAGAGCATCTGCTGAACATCTGTACAGTAGGTAAGCGAGGGGGTCCCCTGATGAAGAAAATATAAAGTTACGAAGTTCTAGACTGTAGACAAAGACACCTCGATTCATAGTCCTGAAGAGGAAACCCTGCTGGTCACCAAAGAACAATTCATGTCATACTGATCACTTCTATGCATGATTAATAATACAGTTAAAATCTAAAGGGCACGCTATAGTCAACTAACCACAGTTCTGTCAGGAAAGCAAAATGACCCCTTATGACCTTTTACTGTCCCATTTTCTGCAGTGTCCAGGCTTTTTAGATGAATGGAAATAATAGACTACATGTGATGTGTAAGATAGGTCAGCTAACTGTGAAGCGCCATCATACCCATCAATAATACATTTCTACTTATGCTCAAGTCAAATCTCACACCTTTTGAATACAGACCAAATGTATATTCATAGCACATATTAACTTTACCCTTAAACAGTCGTTAGTGATTATCTTGTAACATCCTGCTGTATTTGTAGACTTTGCTATGATGTAATCAAGCTTTTTGTTGAGTGAACATCATCTTCAAAGTAAGATATAAGAAGGATTATTTAGATACTGGTTCTGAGAGATTTGTATTGTATTGGTTCTTTAAATGACACCAAGCCCAGTGTCTACAATGAGTTTCACTGAGCTTACATCATCACCCATTCAGTGAATCACTCAGGAGAATGGCTTTCAAAAAATCTTGCAGTACCAGATTTCACAGGAGAGCGGAACAGGCTAATAATACAACCCCAGGGACATATTAGGCAACACCACCACTATCTTCAATCTGAAGGTCAGTTAGTAGTGATAAAGTACTGGTTTTACTCTGCACACAAAAATAGATCTAAGGGAGAATTATCATCCTATCAGTGTAGCATTAGAAACTAAATGGCCCCTCTCTGCTCTGACAGGTGCATTGCTTTAAATCACTATTTCTTTGTTGCCAGCCAGTGAAAGGCATGAGACAAAAGAGTGCACTCTCTGCTAGTATATCTGTCAGTTACTGAAGCATGCAAGGCATATCTTGATTTTTAAAGTAGCAGCATAGTCACAGTAGGTGTGTTTGGGAAGAAAAATCAATGACAATGGCAATGGCAGGGAGAGAAGGCAGCTCCGACTGCTCATAAAAAGGTAGCATGTGAGCAGGTTGCCCAACATTCCACAGGGATGAGTATGAAAGACAAAATTCACGTGATATATTTATACAGGATGAATGTAAGTGGCATCAATTAGGTATGTCATCAAAATGCACACCTTTTCCCCTGTGCTGCAAATTCACTATATCTTTGGTGATCATTGATTCTGATCATTTGACCAAAAATCAAATTTCTTTTTCACTGTGATATTTGTTTTTCAGAAGGAAAGGCATTAAGAAAATTGTTCAAGGAGTTTATGCTAACTGAGTAGGTCAAGAAACAGGAGACTGGTTTTACTGTAGATTTGTGAGGCCTAATAGCATAGCAAGTGCACCTGTGCCAAACACTGCTAGAAAAGATCTGTTATCTGTTAATTCCACTTGATTGACTCTGCCAAACACTATAGTGCCAAATAGGAACTGGGGGAGCAATAAAACTGCGGACTGTGTGTATGACAAATTCATGCCTAGCCTAGGTAACGGTTAATGCAAAGAAAATGAGTGAGGTACCCACATTTGCTTCGCTGCGCAGGTTAGGCAAGTGTGTTAGGGGAGATCTGGTATGTGACAGAATGCTGAACAGAGGGCTTCTTTGATGCATTGAAATTCACTGTCCTTGGCAGAAGGGCTCTTTGTCTCCTTCTAAAAAGTATTATTATTCAAATCAAAATGTGTGACAGCCTACAATGCTCCCTTTCATGGGTCTATCACCGACTGAAATCTTTTTCCCAGAGGTCAGCAAACCCGTTGACTGTGATTGCATCTGAATTTGAAATGTAGACAAAGAGGGAGCCAAGAAAATTAGCTTAAATACTCAACTTTAGCCCAAACTACTAGAAATTACCCTCTTGCATTATTTAAATAGTGCACACTTCCGACTTCACTTACCTACTGAGCCAATACTGCATGATTGCAGTTATGACTGCCTGTGATTAGTGCTTGGCAGGAGGCCCTTTTGTCTGAGCTGAATAGGATTTTACATCATGACAGAGTTAATAACCACTCTTTCAGCCAGCATCACACAAAGAAACATTGCCTCCTAGTGGCAATAAGGTGGCAGTGCATGTTACGACTCTCCAATACCAAAGTCGAGATTAACGATTTTGTTAACCATTATAAGCTCTCTAATTTTTTGCGGTAAATTTCATATCATGTTATAATAAATCCTAAATTTCAAAAATAATACATTTCATGTACTGCTTTGTCTATACTAACATACTTATGTTAGTAAAATGTCATTGTCCTTCCAAAAATGAACGAGCTGACCGTTGGAAATGTCACACAAATGATAGCCCTGGGGTTCTCCAGCACTGTTGTACTGCATTTCCATTAGGGGTTGGGACTCAGGGAACAACATAAAATAAGCAAGTAAAAGAATGGTCAAGTTTTAAGTAGAGAAAGAAATATCCCGACTTTGTCACCATTACAACACTGGACCCTGCATTTCCCATAATGCAACTTAACAGCATATACCCTAACCTCCTAAATTCTCAATTCTTTCAAATCCCACAACTCTGGTTTATAAAGGACACTTTGTTACTTAATATTTTAAGTTGCAAGCTATAACAGAACTAACTCTAATGACAAGGTTAAAAAAGGTTTCCCTCTGACAAAACCGACCAATTGTTTTGGAAAGACCCAGACATATGAGCAAAAATCAGAGAAAAGTCCAAGTGCAAGAAAAAAAAAAAGTTTATTCCTTGTAAACCTCACAGAGCAGGAGCGCAGCCAAGGTCAGACCTGGGGAGAAACAGAGCAGTGTGGGCATAGGAAATGCGGGGAGAAAAAAAACAAAAAAAAAAAAAAAAAAAAAAAACACCCTTCTCTCTATACTTCCAACAATCAGTTGACCAAACAACTGCCTCAAATGTAATTCTCACATTTCCCCCCCCAATGACAAATATCTGAGCAAAAAAAAAAGCTTGTCCATTTACAGTAGGTGACAACCACAAGCACAACAATGACCACTTCAGATGATGGTGAAACCATGAGCGAGTTTCTCCCTGCAGGAACAGAACAATACCAGAAACAGGAGCAAGGAACACTGCTACTTGCCCGAGAGTAAATACTGTAACATTCACAAAAAGAAACCTGACTTTCTAGTCCTTTACTTTTAACAACACGGTGTACTACCAACAGGTGACCACTTCCTCTACATGCTTCACAAAAACTGCCATTAAGGTATGTTCAGCTGGATATTTGACAAACATGTCAGCCAATGTATTTGCAGTACATTCTTTAACACATTACTAGAGAAACAAGCATTCCAGTCTTGGCACATGAACCAAAGTGGAAGATTAATTAAATAAAAATATTTAACTGCTATATCGAAGTTTGCTTCTCCAAAACATTGTTTACATTGCACAGACGGTCTTTACAGTTTCCCTTTCAACACAGGGTGCATTTTCTACAGTGCAACTTTAAACTGGAAACCATAAACAAAAGAAGGAGCAGCAGCTAAACTGAGGGATTTACAGCAGTAGAAATGAGTTTCTGTGAGCGGACGTGATGAGCCGCGGACCTGTGTGCAGTAGACTCTGTGGAGGCCAATGACACGTCAACATAGTGACAACAGGCAAATAAGAGTGTATTGAAAAGTCTTAGACTTGGTGCTGTCAAATATATGTTAAATGTGCCTCACGTAATAAGCGACAAAGCTGGCACTGAGTGAACACGATAGATCGGGATCCCTGCCTGTGGGAAACTTAGCAGGGAGTCCAAAAACCAAATCAGTGTCTCAAGGCAAATTTTATCCAACTTTAACTGGGTGAGGTCAAATTCTTATCCTCCACAGCTTAGCCAGATGCTTCCCAAAGAATTTATATTCAAACTTGATCTCTGTGTTCTCAACTCAAGGCACTGTGATCATGATAAGTGATGAAAGACGGAGTACTGTACACTCATACACACAGGCTTCTCTTACTGCACTCCTTCAAGGGAAAACACAGTAAGGGCAAACCAAACTGCAGTTTTCACTGATGCTGAACATTTGGCGCTGTGTGGGTTTGTTTTGTTTAAATTTAGAATATTTGTTTCTGCTTAAACACACAATCTTTTCCAACTTGTTGAAATCAAAACTTGAATCTTAAAGAATGAACAAACAGAACCACACAATAAATTTTAAAAACTATTTACCACCAAACCCCAAAGCGGTAGAGACCAGGGTTAATTTGGTGTCTGTGAATTAAAAGAATAAATTAAACACAACAGGGCAGAGTCTGTGCCATCTTTACATTACATTCCTCTGGTTGTACAGACGTAGCCAATACTACCTTGGGAGAGAAACAATCTGTCAGAGAAACTGGGGTACAGGTCAGGATGTAGGATGAAGTGAGCTCTGGTTTCCAACTTTTAGGAGGTATTAATAAATAAAAAAAAATAAATAAAAAAAATCTGCCTAAAAATGAAAGCAGCTATTCCCCAGGACCAAAGAGCAGGTAAGTGGTTGCAGTGGTGGGTGGTGGAAACACCCTTTGAGATGAAGATACAAACCCGATTCTGTGAGGTTTCACTAGACACTTGAAGAAAGAAAATAATAATCGGGACTTCCTAGTTGATATGTGATGTCCATTTTATGCTTTTTTTTTTGGTGTTTTGTTTTAACTACAACAAATACAGTCACACAATACAACATCCTTCTGACCTGGCAAGGAGAAACCAAGAAACCCCATTTAAAAAAAGCAAAACAAACAAAAAAATTTGTCAGCCGCAGACATGCCGAGCAGACTGGGAGGTGGTGGGCCTGCAGGAGAAATAAAAATGATGAGAAGATGAATGGATGGAGGGAGGTGGCGAGATAAAGCGTTCATTTCTTGAGTGGCTGGTAAATGGAGGCGTTGGGGTCTAGGCCGGAGGGAGTGGTGTCCATGAACTTAGAAGAGTAGTGGGGGGTCACGGGGGTCATGCTGCTGGTGTCAGCTGTATAGGAGATGCTGGGCATGACAGCCATCACCTCAGCTATCTTCTGCTTCAGGTCTTTGATCTCTTGGTCCTTCTGCAGGATCTGACCTGCAAATGTACATCAAGAACTTTAAGAATATAATTCACACAAAAACTATTTGTAATATCATGTGTAAATAAATATACTGACCTTGTGCAATCTCCAGCTGTCTCTTGGCATCTCCCAGTGCAGAGAAGAGATCCAGTTTGATCCTGGTCTCTGCACTTAGGCTGTTCTCGAGGTGCTGGGTCTTGTCCTGCATGGCTGACAGCGCTGACATCAGCACCTCTGTGTCTTTTTCATTCTCTTTATATTTATGAAGCTCCTGAAAGATAAAGGAGAAGCAATGCAGGTCAGGGTCAGCTCAGGAGCATCTGTGAAAGGATGCTTTAGCACAATAGTGAATAAAGACATGTAGGCAGCACTATGTAAACACTGTGGCATAAATAAAAGGCTCACATCTGTTTCTAACATTTTCAGATTGCCAGATGTAAGAGACAAGGCTTCTTTAGCAGAAACCCAGTCATTCTGTGCCGCATGAAGAATAAATGGCGACCATATTTTGACTTAGAAAGTACATTTAAAAAGTGCTGGAGGATACACGAGTGAGCAATGAGTCAAACAGCAGGTTAAAAAACCCACTGTTAATACCTTATACTCTACCACAGCACTGTAGTCTTAAGTACTGGGACTATTAACAAAAAGAATCTCTTAACATCAGGATGACTGGCTCCTCTTGGAAAGCGTCTACATCAGTGCAACAGTGTGTAGGTGACTGCTTGTTGGACATCTACTGTGCTGCCAAACCTACAAGCACGAGTTCAAATTTTGGCAAATCTGTTTATGAGCTCAAGTTTTCCTAAAATCCTGACTCTGATTCTTGTTGTATTATTTCAGTAGTTAAGTCTAAAATAACGATGAGCTTTGTGCGACCATCAGGTAAAACAAATGAAACTAGAATTACCACTTTGAGGTTGTATGCTCCGGCCAACCAGTCACATTCACAAGAATGGGACAGATGTACAGATAGTCAACATGAAGAAGGCAATGTACATATATATA